GCAGGAGCCTCCAACACCTTATCAGAGCCTTTGCTGCTCCTAAAACCTCATTTGCACTTCACAGCGGGGCAGTGGAGTTTCAGCAGCCCCTCCGCATTTAAAAATCACGAGTTACGCTCCCGGTAAGATTACCTGTAAAGCACCATCGTTAGGAAGGAATGACGCGGATCTTTTTCTCTTTTGGCTGGCGGGGGCATGCTTTTGGACTAATTCCCTCCCACGTGCTGTGGGAGCCCTAAACTGCCCCTCTCCTGAGCGCACCCCGCGTTTGGGGGTCCCGCACCTCCAAGAGCCGAAGCCGAAGGGAGGGAGCGAAGGAGGGAGAGCGAGAAGCTTAACCAAACGAAAGGCAGGCGGCCAGGGCTGGTGCGAAAGGGGGGATAAACACATCATCGCCATGGATCTCCTCTGCTGCTGACACTTCCCCCCGGGAATACCGGAGAGAAAGCCGCCTGCCCGTCCCTGTGTCTGGGAATAAGGGGCAGGAAGGGGAAGATGTCGGGGGGGGGGGGGGGGGGGTGAGGTGGTGTGTGTGTGTCTTATCTCCCCCCGCATAGCACGTGGGACGGGTCCTCTGCACACCCCGCATATCCCCCCCCTCCCCGGCCCCCCCCCCTGCACACCCCGCACGTTGCAGGGCCGCACATGCGGCGCCGGCGTGCACACAAACACAGCGCGCACGCAGGGACACATACAGCGCCTCTTCCCGGGGCACGGGAAGAGCACCCCATTTCCCCGGGGCAGCAGCACCCCCCACCTTCCGCTGGGGGGTCCGCGGCGTCCTGCCGCGCTGCCCGGCAAAGGGAGGGGAGTGTGAGGCTGGAGGGGCACGGTGCCCCGTAGCCCGAGCTAGGAGGGGGTGCCCGGTGCCGCCGTGTGCCGGTGCCTATGGGGCGCGGGGGGGGGCGGGGCGGGGCCGCCCGTTGCTGCCGGCGGCAGTGATGTGGCAGCAGGTCGGGTCACGTTGCCGGCCCTGTGCTCGTACCAGTGTGAGACGGGATTAGGGAGGCGGCTGTCGGTGCGAGGACCGCGCGGAGGGGGAGAGCGGCGGGAGGGGGGGCTCCCGCTCCGCCCCGTCCCGGGACTGCCGCGGGCGGTCACGCTGCACCGGTGCAAATCGGCTCCCAATGTCACCGCGGCGATGCGGGCTGCCTGTCAGGAAGGCAGCGTCAGCGTACAGATAGCGTTTGTTTTAGGTAGATACACACATATATATATGGGCATATACATATTGGTGTATATGTATATATATGTATCTGTACGCATATAAGAAGCGGTGTTGCCGCGGTCTGGCGTTGCAGGCGGACCCGTCTCCCGTCCAAAGGTCTACTGAGCGGTATCACCGGAGGGCGAGCTGCGGCACCGCAAAACAACTACGCGTGTGCGCCTGGTTGTGCTCACGCACCCTCAAATGTACATACGACGTACACCAGACGTGACGCCCTATCCGCCCCCACTACCTACTCCTCTTCTCCGACGAGAGGGGCTCGATCTCCCAACCCACCCCACCCCCCCCCCCCCCGGTGGGCACGTTTTCCACGGGCGGCTTCTCCTCCCCAAGTAAAATGATAAAATTACAATAATGATAATAAAATTACGAACATTAATGAGGGCACAAGTAGTAATAACTACGGCAAGGATGATGACAGCAACAGCAGTAACACGGGGGAAAGCCGGTGTCTGGCAGGGCGGACCCTGGGCCGCCGGCGGGGACATCCCCCCCAGCCCCCCCCGCCACCGCTTCCCTTCCCCCCGCCCCGGTCCCGCCCCCCGCCCGGCGCCCGCCGCACGTGAGCCGTGTGCGGGGCTGGCTGTCGGCGCGCGTGCCCCGCGGCAGCGGGTGCAACCTCGCGTGTGCTGCGGGCGGGTGCGCGGGGAGCGGGAGCGAGGCGGGCAGGGGGAGCGGCAGCGGCGGAGGCAGAGGAGGGGAAGGGGGGGGAACGGGGACGAGCCGCCGCACACTTTCGCCACTGCACGGGAGAAGGGGGGAACGGAGGCTGCATGTGCGCAGCGTCGCTCGCGGATCTCCACGGACTAATCTCAGCATCCCGCCGGCTCCATCAAAAGCAGCGACGAAACGTCAGCCGCTGCCAGACATGGATGAAGGAATCTCCCGCTTGCCGGAGCGGCAGTTACTGGAGCACAGGGATTTTATAGGGTAAGGAGCCAGGGCAGCACCTCCGGCTCCTGGGCTCTACGGCGTTTCGTCCCCTGCAGAAAGTGCTGTGAGGCGCTGGAAGCAGAGCCGTCTGCCCGGCGGTGCGCGGGGATAGCCTCCCTCTGCGTCCTCTCGGCCATCCCCTGCCCGATCCCCGGCCCTCCGTCTGCCTTGCCCTCTCTCTAGTCCTGGCTATTGCCGATGCCGGATCTTTGTGTTTCTCTCCAGGCTGGACTACCCTTCCCTGTATATGTGCAAACCCAAAAGAGGCGTGAAGAGGGACGAGAGCAAGGTAAGTTTCTGTGGTTGTTCGCACTCGAGCGCTTATTTGGGGGTCGCTAAATTTCACGGCGCAGCTGCACCCCCAGGAGCATCCCCGGACGGCTCCGCTTTAACTTCCTCCCCCACGAAGTACAAGCGGGTTTCCGAGCGAGCTGGCACAGCTGGGAGAGCGGTGCCTTGGTGATAATTTGCGCGGCATGTGGTCGGCGTGACATTTGTTTTGGTTTTGGTCGGCGTTCCAAGGGACTCTGTCTAACGCCTGGCTTTTCCGGATTTTGCTAATTAGGAAACATACAAACTGCCACATAGACTGATAGAAAAGAAGAGGCGAGACAGGATTAACGAATGCATTGCCCAGCTGAAGGATTTACTGCCTGAGCATCTGAAATTGACGGTAAGGTGCAGAGGGGCGTAGATGTATATGCAGATGCAGGCTCCGGCAGCCTGCCCGCTGCACAGCCCGAGGGGCATCGGGCTACGGGACACCGTGTTGCCTGCCCGTTTGCCTGCCTGCCTGCCCGTAACTGGCCCCTCGGGGACCAGTTTCCCCAAGTTACAGAGGCGGCCGGGCGTTTGGCAGTGGCCACAGCATGCCGGGAGTTAGCCAGCCAAGCTGCCCCCTTCCTTTGCCTTTGCAGACGCTGGGACATCTGGAGAAAGCGGTGGTGCTGGAATTGACTTTGAAACACTTGAAAGCGTTAACAGCCTTAACGGAGCAGCAGCACCAGAAGATCATTGCTCTGCAGAATGGTAAGCGGGGGGCACCGGGAGCGGACGGGGGGGGTGAGGGGAAGGCGACGAACGAGGCACCCCACGGTGGAGCCGTGGGCAAACGCTGTCCCCTCTCGGTGTTCCCCGCAGGGGAACGGTCCATGAAGTCCCCCGTGCAGGCCGACCTGGACGCCTTCCACTCGGGCTTTCAGACGTGCGCCAAGGAAGTACTGCAGTACCTCTCCCGCTTCGAGAGCTGGACCCCCCGTGAGCAGCGATGCGCCCAACTCCTCGGCCACCTGCACTCCATTTCGTCGCAGTTCCTCCCCGGCCCCCAACTCCTTTCCCCGCCGTCAGGCCCCCTCTGCAAGGGATCCTCCTCCTCTTCCTCCACGCCCGCCCCCCCCTGCGCGCCGGGCCACAAGCCGGAGGGCCAGGCTAACTGCGTGCCCGTCATCCAGCGGACTCACGCCGCCGAGCTCAGCGCTGAGACCGACACGGACACGGACAGCGGCTACGGCGGGGAGGGCGAGGCGCGCGCCGAGCGCGGCCCTGCGGCTGCCGGGGGCGCGCTGCCCGCCCTGGCCATCAAGCAGGAACCGTCGGGGGAGGAGGCTCCCCCCGCGCCCAAGCGCCTGAAGCTGGACCGCGGCGGCAGCCCCATGCCCACCCCGCCGGGGCTGGCGGCGCGGGAAGCCGAGGCGGCTGCGGCGGCAGCAGCGGCGGCAGCAGCGCTGGTGAGACCCGACGCCGCACTGCTGGGCTCGCTGATGGCCCTGGGGGCGGGCGGTGGCGGGGTCCCCTTCGGACAGCCGGCTGCGGCCCCTTTCTGCTTACCCTTCTACTTCATCTCCCCCTCTGCCGCCGCAGCCTACATGCAGCCCTTCCTGGATAAAGGCAGCCTGGAGAAGTATCTCTACCCCGCAGCCCCCATCCCGCTCCTCTACCCTGGCATCCCGGCCCAGGCCGCTGCCGCCGCGGCCGCTGCCGCCGCCTCCTCCTTCCCCTGCCTCTCCTCCGTGCTCGGCCCCTCCGAGAAAGTGGCCGCCGCCGGGCTGCCCCCGGCTCCCCACCTCCCGCACCCCTTCGCTGCCGCCGCCGCCGGGATGTCCGCCGCCGAGCCCGGCGAGGAGGCTGATACCGCCACTGCTGAGGAGCCCGGTGCCGAGGGCCCCTGAGACGCCGCAGGCCGGGAGCTCCCACGGGCCGGCTCCCCGCCGCCGCTGCCCTCCCCTCGGACTGGCCGCCCCGCCGCGGGGCGGGGAGGGGCCGTCGGGCCGGCACCTGCGCCCCTGGTTTCCTATGGAGGGCAGGGCAGCATCTGTAAGGGGTAGCCGGGGCCCCGCCGAGCCGAGCCGGGAGCTGGTGGTTGCGGGATGGCGGGGCCCGGCCCGGGGAGCGGCCGCCTCGAGGGGAGCCTCGGTGCCCCGCAGAGCACCGTCAAGGAGAAAATTTGCTACTCAGTATTTTTTTAATGTTTGGCTTTATACATGCACAAATAAGGAAAAACAAGAAAAAAAAAAAGAAGAAATAGTAAGGATACTTTTTTTTTTCTCTCTCTCTCTTTCTACGGTAACTTAAATGTTGCACCTTATTTGCAATGGGTTCATAGGAACTTGCACTCGCGGCCCGGGAGCCCCGGGTGGGTTTGGGGTGCGGGCGGGGCAAAGCGAGGCGATGGAAGGAAGGGAGGAGGGCAGGCCCCCGCACCCGCGCTAGCACTTTACTGAGAGGAGGAGCGCAGAGAGACGGCAGCACTCCGAGCCCGAACCTGCAGTGCCTTGAGCACCCGGGGCTGCCGCTGGCTCCGGCGAGTTTTGGGTGTGCAAGGGAAGGAGGGGCAGACCCATTATGTAACCTTGTGTTTATTTTATAATTATTATTTCTTTTCAGCTAAGGTATACAGGTGTGGCAAGTGCATTTGTTCTCACCCTCTCTTTATTTAATTATGTCCCCGAGAGATTTCCCCCCGAACCTTGCTGTATGAAATGAATGTTTCTGCACTGAGCTACAAAAAATATCCCCCCTCCTCTTTCTCCCCTTCAAGAAAACACAGAGCAACTCCTCAGCCTGAACTACTCCTCACTCACTTTATCCTAAATCCGAGGGTCACAAAGCGGAGGCCGTAGGTAACCTCACTGTGCAATCAGAAACGATTAGACCAGTTGGGGTAAGTTTCCCAAGTGGGTTCTCCCCTTCATCCTGTGCTCAAATGCCGCTGTTCCCTTCCCGGAGACAAACCAGACTGCCAGATAATCACACGGATAAAGCTTTTAGAAGAAGGCTTAAACCAAGACCTTGCCTAGATATTTTTAGTTTGTTGCCAAGGTAGCACTGTGAGAAATCTCACTTGAATGTTACGTAAGAGGTGAGACATGACAGCCTGGCGAGGCGTGAGCGCGCGTCCATCCGTCCGTCCGTGCGGGCTCTGTCCGTCTGTTTGGTGCATCCGCTGCTGCTGTTGCTACTGTTTTGCCTCAAACGCTGTTTAAACAACGTAAAAAAAAAAAAAAAAAAATACCCTCTTACTGGCCTACAGAGTGGCTGTGTGTAAATAAGTTGTTAATACATTCAATTAATGATGTCTGACATGCTATTTTTGTAGGGAGAAAATATGTGTTAATGATATTTTGAGTTAAAAACTTTTCTGGGGAGGGTTTGCTGAAAAAGTTGCACTTTTGTTACAATGCTTATGCTTGATACAAGCTTATGCTGTCTTAAATTATTAAAAAAAAAAATAAATCCTGTCTGCAAGAAACCAGCTGGTTTAGAACAGTTTAGTATGTGATATATTAGAAATCAATCTTTATATTCAGTATTTTCCAGCACTCCATGAATTCTATTATCTAAATATTTCCACACTATTTTGTGATTAAAAAAAAAAAAATTCTTACTAAGGAATAAAAACTTTAATACACAAAATGGGGTTGTCTTCTAATTAAAAATCTAATGATAAGACATGATAATGGGTGCACTGAGCATCAAAACATATGATTGTGTGGCCGATGAAAATTGTTTTAATGACTTTTCACATTTTTAATCTATGTTTGGGTTTCCTTGCTTTCCCTTAACTCCCTTTGGCAAACTCTGTTTGCAGGTATGTGCGTTTCACAAAGCGTAAAGCATGACTGTGGAACATGCATGTTTCTTCCTGACATCTACTTTTCTCCTCTTCTTTTTGCAAAATAATAATCTTTACAATGAATACTTCACAGCCCTGGTGCTGCACAGGAGCTATCTTTGTTCACCATGCGCAAACTTCACAATTTGCCTGACAATCTAATGACGTATCATCAGCTCTGGAGGAATGATATATGTCCCAGCTTGGAAACCCTCAACGAAAACTGAACATTTGGAGGGGGAGGAAGGGAGCAAGCAGGAGGGGGAAGAGAGTGGTGGAAACAGGCAAGTAATTCATCGCATGGAAGTGCAGCACCCGAAAGACTTCCACGGATTTAATATCTAAGCCGCATCACCTCTCCTCTCAAAATTTCTTCCTGCTCCAGCGAAATAAAATTAAGGAAACCCTCAAACAGTAGCCAATGTTTATGTAAGAGCGCAACACAAAAGGAAGCGTTTCATGCTCCCTCTGCCGGTTCTTCAATACCAATGACTCTACGTGCACACGGAATGAAGTTGGAGCGCGAAAGTAATAGAAAACTCTTAAAAGACTCGTGTTGATTTCAGCAGTCCTTTAAAATAGAGGAGGGATTCTAAATCGGGTGAAAAATAAGCGCTCCTTTAAAACTGTTCAAGTGAGATTACTAAGAAATAGGTATACGTCTTTTCATAAGGAAGCTATAGTAAAATTAACTCCTGTTAGACAGAGACACAGGCAGACTGTCTGTACAAATACCAGAGGACAGATAGCAGTGCTTTTTCCAGAAAATGATGCTGAGGGACCAAAGGCCACTACATTCCATCAGGATACCCGCTGAAGCCAACTGTTCATGGGCTGAAGTCAAAGCTTACTAAAGGTAATGAAAAAGCTGTCTGACTGCAGTTGTCATTGAATCCCACTCTGCACCTCGTGCTATTGCAGGAAAGAAAGTGAACTGGCTTCAGCCCTTCAGCTCGGTATCTTGCCAACCACCTCACTTTGACCTGCATACTTAAACAGCTCAACATCTGTTACGTGGCCAGAGTTACACAGGGATGTACATGCTCATACACTCCAACTCCTCATGCCAGGGGAGGGGATTTGCCTTACTGTGCATGAAGGAAGCCCTTCTTACCAGTTTACTATGCACCCAGAAAGGGTGGAGCCATGAGGACTTTTCAAAAGAATCATACCCATCACGAACACTTGGGTTGTTTGAAACCTGGGCATGGGCCAGTCTTTATGCTTTTTTCAAATTTCCATCCTTCTAAACCTAGATCCTCACAGGGTTTTATCAAATTCAGTTATTTTCCAAGTACAATAACAGGAAAGCTTATTTTTAGCAGTCCTTGAATCAAAACATACCCAATGACTTCACGCCAAATTGCCCCATCAGTGGAGTCTATTAATTTTTATCACATAAAACATAAAGACAAAATATGTGTGCTCAGATAATCCTAATGCCTAGCAAAAGCAAACATGTGAAAGAAAGGTTTGTAGTTGAGGCTGATAACCCACTGTTGCTGTAGGCAAAGGCGACTGACAGGAGGAACCCTAGTGTCAGCTTTAATTATTAAATCCTCAAATCCCTTTGGCACCTAAGTCAAATTATATATGAAATACATTTCATATTTTCCCAAGGTTAAAAAACCCCAATCATACAAACACTGGACAAGAACCTGACAGGTTTAAATATACATTTACCTATGTACAAATATGTATTATCAAAGCTTATTTCTTACCTGCTTTCTATAACTGTATGATATATGGGCCTTTGTCTGCACTTCCCAAGTGCTAAGCATGCAGGACTGGGTGCTACATTTACTATATACACTTTAGTATGCTTATTTTCTCATAACCACAAGACAAAGGATGTAAGCTGGTAAAATGTATTTTCTTAAGCGATAAACTTTGAAAACAGATCTTATTTATCCAGTATATTATAGTGACATGAAAGGCTCCATTACAGTGCATTAAATAAACACAGTTGAGGTTGTTAAGCCAATGGAAGATAATATCAGGTACCTCCCACTAAAGGTCATGGAAGTTTTATGTTTGGAAGGACCACATATATGAACTCAAACTGATCATCAGTCCCATTAAGAAAAGCCTGACCTACCAATTAAGTCAGTGGGAGTCCTTTTCTTGAGTAATGGGCTTTGGAGTAGGCCCTAAGTCTACGTTTTGGGGATTGTTTAATTTTCACCTTTAGCCAGGGAAGACTGAATGACATCCAGCAACCCTGGAGATTGTGCACAATGTACATTTCGGCACTGGCAAATTTATAGTCTGTCCCCTACCCTAGGTCTCACACGGTATTTCCATTTCCTCTCAAACATCAGCTCCTGGAATCATGTGATCACCATTGCCTTTAACAAGTTTTCTGCTTGCTAGTTGCAGAAATGAACATGAAAGTATGACCTCAAGGAAAGCATCCTGGTCTAGTGGAAGGTGTGCCTGCCCATGGCAGGGGGTTGGAACTAGATAATATTTAACGTCCCTTCCAACCCAACCCATTCTGTGATTCTAATGAAGTAACAAAAATGCCAGACTTCCTCTCCACAAAAGAAAAAAAAAAACAAACACACAAAACAAGCAAACCAACCACAGCTGGATTTTTTACTGCTGGTTGCACTCAAGAAAGTCTGAATCTCTATTAAGTGGTTATCTCTGGTTATACTGCAGCCTCAGAGTAGCTCACTGCAAAGCAGCAGAGAAAAGCCAGTGGCTCACCTGCCACTAACAGCGGTTCACCTGCCACTAACAGCGGCTGTGCAGGTCCTAGACACGTGAGGGCTGGATGTGAGCAAAGCTGAGCTGCCACTGTCACTTTTCCCTCTGCATCCTTCCCATGGCTACAGCGTTTCAGTCTCTGGGTTGCCATCTCTCACAAACGCTAAACTCACCACAGCCTCAGTGACAGCAGTGATGCTGCCTGCCCAAAGCTGCCCTGCCCTGGGCCAAGCAGCAGAAGTTGTTCTGCCTCTGAACTCAGGGGCACCCAGTGGCAACATACCTGCTGCTGCCACCTCTGCCCTTTCCTGGGGCACAGGCATGCCTCTCCCTGCCTGGCATTCCCGATACATCCCAGGGTGGCTGGTGGGAAGATGTGACCTCATGGTTTGGAAAGTAGGGACTGTGATTCCAGGCAGCCCTACTGGGCCATGGGGCTGGGGAAAGCTCTTTCTCTGGCCTTTCCAAAGGCCTGTTGGTTGGGCTTGTTTTTCTGTGGTCAAGCCAGTCTCAAAACTGAGCAATTTCTAAAGAACCACCTAAGGAAAAGAATTATGTAAATATGGCACCTTCTTACTCAGCAGAAAACTGGCTCCCCAAGTGTGTTTGGAGTTGTACCTGCACTACAGAGCCAACTGAGCTGACAGATACTGCAGCAGATTCTGTTCTCACTGTACTTTACCAACAAATCCAGCTTTGCAGTTGCTGCCAGGCAGGCACACAACTTTGCTCACATGCAATGTTATGTGCAAAGAAGCGCATCTATATAGATGCACTTGGTCCTAGTTATGGCATCAAGGGCTTTGGACTTGGTTAGAACCCACTGAACCAACTTCAGGCTTGGATCCTGTGAGTAGTGACCCTGATCACTATTTCTGTAGTTTGGAGATCACAGCTTCCAGTGAAGGTTGTAAGACCTTTACCTAGGTTCCAACTGCAGGATCTGCTTCTCGCGTTCGCTGGAATACGAGTATCTCCCTCAAAACCAAATGGGAACTATCGCACCACTGAGGGCAGACTTCGCAACAATAATGCAGCCTGAGGCACAGAAAAAAAGGCTTTGCCTAGCAGCCAGATCTTCAAATGCATTTGCAGTACTAACAGTCAGAGAAACAAAATGTCTTGGGTTTTTCAGGGGTTGTTTTTGAGGTGTTTACAGGACTAATCAGCATTTCTGCAGATGGCAGGTGAAACTACAGCTGCCTGCGCACCTACCTCTGCTTTTAAAAGCCAGTGCTCGTACAGACGCGTTAGTGCTGGACAGCAATTCTGGGAGACACAGGCACGGACCCTAAGGAGATAAAGAGGTCACTTGGGTTATTTTGTCTGCATTCCCTTTAGAGCTTCACGCAGGCCCCCAGAAGCCCGGTGACAGCGGTTTTGCCGCGGAAGGAAAGCATCAGACCTGCCTGGAGGTGTGCCCGCCCCTCGGGATGGCACAGAGCGGGCACGGACGGGGCGGTACCACAGCCCAAAGCGCGCGGCCGCCCCTGAGGCAGCCAACGGTCGTCACGCGCGCGCCCACGTGACGCAGCGCACGCTGCCCGGCACGTGCGCGCAGGCCGCGCAGGCTCGGGGAGGAGAGCGCGCGGAGGGGAGGGGCCGGCGGAGCTGCGGCGGTCGCTTGGCAACGGCGCTGGCTCGCGGCCCCGCCCCCGCCGGCCGGGGCAGCCGTTGGGCTGCGGGCATTACCTCAAGCGGCACCGGCCGCGGCTCCCAGCCAGGCGCTGCCCCGCGGGCCCTGGCTTCCCTCGGCCTCAGCCAGCCCCAGGGTGCGGTAGGCACGGCCGGGAAAGCGCCGCTGTTCCGGAGTGGGGGAAACGTCCACTGGTTGAGGGCTTACCCGAACCTGGTGCAGTTTCACTCGGAACCCCCGGGCCACACGCAAAGCTGTTACGGGGATCGGGGTTTTGGCAGCCCGGTGTGGGCTTTTCGGTCTTTTGAGGAAACTGAATTGCCTTTATCCCTTCAAGCACCCCTCTGAGCATAGCAGCTGAGGTAAAGTGGCACCCCTGGCCACTGTGTAGAGCTAATAATGCTAGCAATATCACTGCCGATTAGGGGAGATGAGTTTTAGCACTGCCCAGGGGTTTAAAACAAGTTGGATTTGGAGCCCTGGCATTCAAGAGACTTACTGAATGCATTTTGAGCAAACAGAATGCAATATTGTGCAGGTATGGACCAATTCTGCTTTCTTGTAAGGAAAATAACAAAGACCAGGAGGTTTGTAGCCCTTGAGGGCATAATAATAAATTGTGGTTGGGGAACTCCTTAATAGAGGCTGTTTTTTCACTTCGATTCTTCTCAAATAGTAATGTTACTGCAAAGTTCTGTGGATGTAAGCAAAACATGGACTGTAGGGGAAGGCAAGACCTTTCATTAGCACAGCAGATGCCTCTAGAAAACCAGCCTAGTTTTCAAATACCCAAATTTTTTTTAGCTTCACAAAAGGACTTTAGAACCAAGAGCGCTTAACCCCCCAGCAGAATCTCTACACATTTTATATACCCGAACTTTTCCTTTATTTAGGAGCTGCAAGTCCTCCCTTACCCTGCCTGTCAGGTACCCTGCCTGTCAAGTACCCTGTCCTCCCATACCTCAGAATGCCCAAGGCTGGAGTACCTTGAATGGCACCCCATGAACCCTTCCGCTTGGGCCAGGGAAAGCCATCAATACCAGCCTCAGCAGCTTTTGCCAGTTTGCTTCCTACCACAGCCGAGGGGCCTAGAGCATGCATCAGTCCTAGCCAAGAATAATCCTGCTGCTGCTCACATGATACACTGCGGACACAAGAGCTGTTGGGTTCTGCATGAGAGCCACAGCCACCCTGCAGACAGCTGCCCAGGAGATGAATTCACCACACGGAGTGGGATGAGAAGAGCCATACAAACTAGTTAACTGGACACACGTACCCCCTGCATGCTCTGGGCTTCACATTATTATCCCTGCCTTCTACTTGGATCTCAGACCTAAAGCTTTCCACAGAGGTAGCTGCACAAATCAGTGTTTTTCAACAGCTGAACTAGATTTGCTACCTTTTATATCAAAACTGTTGATGGTGACAGTGCTTACCAGGCAGGGGAGGCTGTGGCTGGGGACTCCTGTTGGACAGCACAGGATGATCAGAAGATAATGCAGCCATCTGAGAGGAAAAACTTAAGAATCCGGACCTGCTTTGCAGCACGTTTATGCACTTTATGTTACAAACCCACTGGAATAAAAACAGATCTTCACAGGAGCTGTGGTAGGAACCTGGACTCTGATTTCCTCTTCCCCCAAGTGAAGACGCTAATCAATTAGCTAAAGCCATTTCTTAGTGATTGCTTAATCATTTTGTGCAAATTAGGCCAAGATCCACAAGAGAAACAGTACATGAATGTCTGAGAACAGCTTTTGGCCATGGCCTTCCCACAGGGAGCAGGAGATGCAGTGGTGAACCTCCTTGGGGGAAGAATATTCAATACAAATCACCTACTGAGAGAGAAATGGTTGGTTACCAAACCATCATTTAAACGCAGGGCTGTTCCTCTTCCAGCTGCAGCTTTTTATGTGAAGAGTGATGCCCTCTGTTGTTCTAGAGAGAAGCTGCTACGAGTTAGGGAACTGAAAGCATGAATGTGGAGGTTGGCTTATGTTTTCAAGTATTGCAAATTTAGAGGTGCTCCGGTTTTGACATACAGGCAGTTTGCTGGGTCTGTCATGGTGATGTGCTGCAACTGGAACTTGAGAGTCAGGAAAAAACCATTTGTAGAGGGCTATGTACCAAAATGAGTAGGAAAAAAACTGTTTAACAACACACCAGTTTAAAAAATGCAGAAAAAGTTTGTAGAATGGGCAAGAATTGCATATTACTGGTGCTGCCAAGGTAACTGAGGAGTATGGGAATGTGTGTGGGCAAGGGTCAAAGTTAAGGCTGCATATGCATCCCTCAACATCTGACAGCTGAGAGAGAAGGAAATACCATGGCCTAACAAGCTGCCATCATCAGATAATCCTGATGGGCACTCTTAGTCCACCTGTAAAAATAAATGTGTTAGTGCGAATCTGAGCTGCAAGTGTTCCCTCTCCTTGGCACAATAGAAAGAAGCTGTATGTATTTCAATTTGTTCTACAGAGCGGATAAGAAAGTAAATATGTATCTGTCTGCAAAACATGAAGTGGCTTTGCAAAATGCCTAGCACAACTGGTCACAGGGGCAACTCTGGTGTTGTGAATTACCATGTAAGTACGGTTATTTAAAATGACCTTTGAGAGTAATCTGTGTGCCATGGCCCAGGAGCCATCTGCAGGAAGTGTGCTCCCATCAGTGTCCTGCCAGGCCTGCAGCTACTTTCAAGAGTCTGGCTGTTTGCTGTGATTGCTGAACATAATGAGTCTGCAATAACTGTTTTCAAACGTACACAGTAATGTCATGGGGTTGGCTCAAGTTCAGTAACCCCAGGACAATGCATTCAAAAGGGGTAGAGGGCAATTCAGCTCCTACTGGTCAGTGAGGAGGTGCTGTACATCCCTTCCTTTTGTTTTACTCAGAGATCATCTCTACCTTCCTCAGGAGCAAAGCTGCTTGGCTTGGGACAGCACTTTGGTAGTTTAGGGCTACAGTGGCATTTTCCGTAGTGGGTACGGTAGAGTCATTTGTATTTGTACAAACCTGTAAAGACAGCATCTCCTCCCCTTCCCCAGATGCTCCCAATGAGACCTTGTGGCAGTGCGTTCAAGATGCAAGCCTGCCCCCTTGACTGAAGGCATCTCTGCATTACAGGAGTCTCATGCTTCTAGATGGTCCAGAAGGAGCAGAAAGACAGTTCAGAACCACTGCCTCACAACTGCCTGCTGCAAAATTGAGGACAGGAATATTTTTTTCCTTCTGACCTATCTCTGTTATCAATACCACAAAGTAGGTGGCACTGAAATTCAGCCATGCAGCAGTGAACTGTAGCAGGGACACTGCTATGAAATGCCAACTTTTCTGGATGTATGCTTTCAAACCACTGTAGTTTCTTGGACAGCTTCAAATCTAAATGCAAATCTAAATCTAGAGTTACCATGCAAAGCAGGTTACCTGCATATGCTGATAAAAGAAGTAATAAGCCAAGTATGGTTACCTGAAGAAGAAATCAGAACAGACTCATATTTTTAACCCCAAACACACCAAAGCCACCCCAGAATTGCATTGCTCAGATGGAGTTCCTTTTACTAATACCCCAGTTACCTTTTCACCTTCCAGCTTTAATCAGACACAGAGGCAGAGAAATACGGTGCATTTCCTGTGCCTCAGAGCATGTATGCATTTCTATAGCCAAAATGAGACAGAACAATGGCAGAAAGATTCCCCTTATTCTTAGTTCAGGCTTTAAGAATATTTTATATCTCAAAGGTGAAAAAATGATGGAGGTAATTGGACTCTTGGTGACCTGCACGAAAACACAAACCTGACACTTTAACATCAGATATCTTGATATTCTTTTTTAATTTTGACTTCCCCACTTTGCAGTCTCTGCTAAAGAACTTAAACAAGTTTATTCTCCAAGGAGTTGAACTCTTGCACATACTGAAATCAGTGTGCTAAAATCAATGGCAGATTAAGACATTCATTTTGCAGAGTAAAGCTTTAAGTTTAAAACAGACTAATTAGATCTCAAAGGTAAAAGCTTTATTGGTTGAACCTGGCTCAACAATTGCAAAAGGAGAGATTAAGAATCACTTCTTTTGAAGTGCTTACATTGTTTAGTTTGGAAGGGAGATAAATCCTCTGCTATCAGGAAGTTTAACCTCTGACTGAAGGGGTTAGGGAAAGTTTCCCCTGTGAACAGGTTATTTTGGAAACTCCAGACAAAGGGTGCTGTTTACTATTGAGCTGCCTGTGCCCATCCAGTCCTTGCTATGAAACCAAAGGCTGAATGCTAGGCCAGGTGGCCCTCTAGCCTGACTGAACTGTTGTTGGAAAACTATATTTCTGTGTGATCAGAACAGACTTTACAGTGAAAGATCCCTATACAAAAGTAAGTAAATGGAGATGAAGAGTACGTACTTCTTCTTGCGAAGACCCTGCAGCTCCCTGGGCCTTAGTTTTCCCAGCTGACAAAAATGAAAATGGTATCTAATGATTTTACTGCATACAAGTACATGTGTGTGTGCATGTATAAATGGGCTCAGATGGCAACATCTTAAAATGATCTTTAATCTCAGAACTGGGCACTAGGATTGAATCTGTGCTAAGGCATGCTGAAGGGTGCTCATTCTGTGCAGGTGTCCAGACTAAGTGTAGCTGAGGTGTTTCTTAGTTAATTAAAATGATTGGAGCATATAGAAAACACTTTGGAATTAAGAAAAACCAAAAAAAGGCACCCTCCTACAATTCTTGTGCATTTTCTTTTCAGCCCCTAATACCAAACAGCACTTGGGAGCCTACAGAAAAGT